ATACACCAATGTTACTAATAACAATTAAAGAGGAACGATTAAAATATAAAATACATTGCAATAAAATAAAACAATAAGATGGTAATTAAACTCGTTAATGTGTCAACTGTCTGTCATAAAATTAGTAGCTTAACGTCTAAGTAAAAATGAGGGATTAATAGAAACATAAGAACAATAAAAATGTTTAACTGAATTAATGAATACTGGGCGAATGAAATATTGAAGGTATGAAATAAAACAAATGCGGAAAGGTTAATGTAACTAAAATAAGTGATTCTTATTTTATTTCTATGCAAGAAGATCATTACTCAACGTATTGGTGTTCTTGGAAACGACTACCGTCAATTCAAGTACGGCTTGGTATGCCTGTTCTGTCTTCGATTTGTGATTCCAAGCTGGCTGTGATGATGTCATACTGGGTTAATTCCTTGTTCATATAGCACGTTCGTACTGGTTTAACTGGCTATTACTGTTCATAACAGTTAGTAATTTCAGTTTGCGTCTACATTGCAAGGAACTGTAATAACCGCATTTGAAGTATTTTACCCTTCTTCTTTTAGACTACGATTTCGGTTTGTGTTTGTTCGACATTTTCACGTGACCGCCAATCATACCCCAAATAGTCGAAACCGCTAACCAAGAAATCCCTCATATCCATGCCTATGTTTCAGTATTGGAGCCAATCTGATTAAAATACAGATCTATGTTTCGTTTCTTTTTTTTTTATATACTTTCGATGGCCTACACTACATGAAGATCTGGGAGAACGCTAGATCAGAGACGTTCCTGCACATTTTAGCCCATATGACGTCATATGTAGTTAGGGTAACGAAATGTAAACTGGGCTAGCGCTAACACTAACCCTGGACCAAGTCTAACCCTTGCCCTAACGCACAATACACATATGGCATCGTATGTGCAGGCGTTCTCCGAAGATCTGACCGGTTGTAGTGGAGGGTCGTATCAAGGGTCATACGAGCGGCTTTTCTAGTGCTTTACCCACGGTTCCGTGCACCACACGCCAAGAACTCACCGTACCAGACCGTTTTATTGGCTAATCCATCATATCAACCAGAACTCGGGTTATATAACAAGATAAGTAAAACGAAATTTTGAACTATAAAAACGAAAAGGAAACCCGCTTCAGGTGTTTCGGAATGAGTAAACACGTCGGGTAATATCAGAAACCCCAGAGTTAAATAGATATATTAGATCAGAGACGAGGTAGCTATTTCTACTTATCAACATTTAACTGAATGCAGCTTTTAGTGTGCTAGCATATCATTGATGTGACAGGTTTGAAGGAAATTTCGTGTACACTGCTGAGTTGTGATTTCTTTAATCTCGAACTCATGGGGATCATATATTATCACCGAACCTAGGATAAATTAATACAGAAATAGACTGGTACATAAAGGCAGGCACTAATTGACGCCCATAAGAGTACCAATTACCTTCTGAACATTTGTCATCTAAATTCCACATAGATATTCTTTATGAGACATTCTAACAATTTCTGTTGCGCAGTAAAATTCAGCCCTGTCAACTAATACAATTTGATTGATATGTAAGAAAATATGTAAGGTGACAACAGAGTTGCATTTATTCAGCGTTATTAGTTTTAAATATGTAAATATATTAACAATGTTCACACATTGACTCACGGCAGTGTCGTCCCATCTCGAGGTGATAAATATAAGATTTAAAGGGAACTTAACTAATATTAGATGCACATTTGTACTTATGATATTGTCTCCCGAAGAGAAGAAATCTGAAAGGTACCTCAAGAAAAGAATGTGCCATGATCATATGGGATGAAATTAGCGCGTACACTTAACATGTGATAATGGTCAACAAAATTATTTGTTACGTTTAACGCCTATAATATTACCAAACATATTAGATTCAAGCATTTATTTTTGTGTGACCGTGTATTTTCATTCATTATTTTCGCTTTATATTACTATTTTAAGATATGTTTTGAATAACAGAATAATTTATTAAAAAATATGGTTAAACTTTATAAAAATAATATCTCATTGAAAAATATTCAATCAGTTTAATATAATCCTAGTTTCTTCTTTTAGGTCGTTAATGATTTCCGTAAGCCTGCATGTATATAAAGAAAACATATAACTAAATAATCCCCCTGCCTTTTGTAAAATTATAATTCCGTACAGTATTATTTTTGTAATATATACATATTAAGTAATAAACGTAAAGTCGCATTAGTTGTCCTTATTGCACTTTCTAGGTAATGAAGTATTAAGTAATTATCTAAGTAGTAGTTATTCCTATCTAAACATGCATTAAATGCAAGAGCTAAATCTGTCTATTGCAGGTCTTTCTTTAGGCCTGAAATGTTATCTAAATTATTAATTAGACATTAATTAACTTATGCAGACCATAATCAACTCTCGATTTCGTCGCTAGCCTGCGATGTTTATTGGATTAGGTTCCGATTTGCTGTTCGACTTCCATTCATAATTTAATCATGAAATGGATAATCCAGACTATGTTTTGTTATCGTACCGACTTCAGTAATGATGACCGAGGCTAAGCCGAAAATTCAATCGCTAAAATCTCGGTTCAGAGTGGATCAATTTGACTGAAATTTTCAGCAGATTCTCTTTAAATTATCTAGTTTTTAACTATTACAGTGGGACCTGCCAGCTCTTTATCTAATATCACATAATGTATCTTTAACTAATGAACCTTAACCATTTTTACCGAATCTGCGATACACATATCCTATCTGATGGACAGATTCCGGTTTCTAGCGAAACGCAGTTTTTTTGTCTTTTACGTTGCATTATCCAAATTCCAAGGCCCTAAATATAACAGTTTACCAGATCGTGCGTGTGGTGCTCTAAGTACGGCGGGAGGTCTTAGGTTCATTACCCGATGTTGGTCGAAAAAAATCCTGAAGAATTTCCTTCGTAGGTTCCCCATGTCAGTCAATGGATACTAAATGTACACCGTCCACAATTAGCTCCACTTGAGAACAAACAACAGGCATATAATTCCTAAATACTTTGACAATTTCGCTTCCATTTAATAAACTTGAAAATGTTTATTTAGCCTCTGTGTGTATATGAAAGCTATAAACGGATTAGTACCGCATTATAAAATAGAATACTAATTTTTCCATATGGCGGCCATTCAGGACAGAAATATATTCGTGGCTAAGTGGGTAAGACTCTGGCTCGCTAGCCTGGAGGTCGCGTTTTTGATCCCTGTATTGGCCGAGACGGTTCATCGGGATTTTCCGACGTTGTTTCTCCTTGTCAGTGTATACATTGGCGTGTACGTAAAAGATCCTTTGGTAGTTCGAATTCGATGTAAGAGTAGGCCATAGTGCCGCGGCTGGGGCAAAATTTCCCTCATAGCACATTGTATTGCATATGCCCGTCTTCACTAGCCAAGTCGGAGCCGAACAGTAGGGCGTTAATCCCCATTTCATTTAATTTCATTTCAAAAATCTATTCTCATTGGTGTGCAGAATGATGTCAGTTCAGGGCGGAGAGTCTGACAAGGAACAGGGAACAGTCTCTAGTCGTTAGGATGGAAGGAAAACTATATACAAAATTGGCGCACACGTTCACTAACCATTGGAATTCTGTATAGAACAGGCAGAGACGCCACTCTACGGACAATATTTCATTGACCCGGCTGGTTCACAACAATATGACGTTAAATCCCATTTTCATTTCCTTAAGCGTACACGCAATTCAATAAAAATAAAAGCAATAAATTAATTTTTTTTATTGGCATCATATTATTAAAATGTGGAAATAATAGATCCAATTATCTTTTTGTTTTATCGTAAACTACATCTCTTTTTTCAATTAGTTTTGGAATGTCGATTGTGATATGTGATATCAATACTATTATGTTAGGCCTCGTGTCTTAACATTTATCGTAATCGTAATTTTAACCATAAGTCTATCATAATCGCCCCTAAGGTACTATTATAGTATTGTGAAGTCATACAAAAACACTATCCCTTTGACATTTATCGACTTGAAAAAGATCGAGTGAGTCACTTTGTGATAGACGTTGTATTTAAATACATAATTGCAGATTAGAAATACTTTTAAAGTTGTATGATAAAAGAGATCATATATGTCTGTATTTCATCTCATCCCAAGCACAGACAAATGGAATATTCATCATTTATGTACATTACAGAAACACGTTATGATTTTTTAACCCCTTGTTCCCATCGTCATCATGGGGTTAAGCTGGTTTCAAACGTCGGCGATTGGTTAGTTAGCTTAGGGGGGAAAATAAACTATTTTCTAAAAACCAAACTCGCTACTACAGCTGTTTTTCTCTACTGACATAGCTTGGCCATCGGCAAGGATCGGCTTAAAATTGCCAGCTTTAGCTATCTTACGGCATATGCATACATTGTGGCCATTTACGATTTCAAGTAAATTATGTACTCTTAAAGTTAACTATAATAAATCGCTGTTTAAACGGCTTGTAAGTCCGAAATTATAGCTAGTCTGGATTTAACAACCCAGTAACATCTAACATCTAACAATTTACGAGCACACGACGGTCCTTAAAAATCAGACACTTATGTCCCATACTACAGAAACATATAATGGGTCTACAGAACGTCTGAAATATAACACGATGCGTTACCCGTCGGCAATATATTGTCTTGTTTACCATAACAAACACTGTCATCTAATAACAACTCATGGTACGAACATCAATCAAAACATAAGATGCAAACAAAATCCTGAAACTTCAGAATGTTTGTTCAGCTTATTAATGAGAAAAATCCCAACTGCTTTTGTTCATATTCTGATGCGTATAGTGTAATTAAAACACTGTCAGTTTTGGAACATGAATGGAAATATGATTTCTATAATGCGAATAACAGGAGGAACTCGTCGAAAAGAATCACTCGTATACAAATAGTTAAACAAATACTAATAGTTTGTAATAATAATAAATATATTGTATTTCAAAAGAAATTTTCTTACCGCATGAACATATTAACCCCAACTGTGGACACATCAGCCTGTACAATCTCCCACGATTCTAACACTAGTTCTTTTTGTCTTTCTGTGATAGCTGGTTTAATATCTTCTTCTCTGGGAGATGTCTCTGGGGAAACTCCATTTCCCGTATGCCCATTTGTTGTCAAGTATGTTTTCCGATGTCCAGATTTAGAGGTTTCGAACTTTCCTTGCTTTAATTTATTTTTTGTTGAATTTACACAACCCATGTCTGTTTATTTATTAGTTAATAATAAAACAACACTAGTGAGATTGTCACCTATTACAAGACCTGCACCTATGTCTCTATCGCTTGCATCATTAGTAACTTTTGTATTGTTTTCGGCACATCTGAATATTTGTTAATAAATATAACAGAAAAGTCCACTTTTGATAAAATCTAAAACAAAATCGATTTGTTGAACAAACTTGTACAGAGACTGTTTACTGTAAACGGTAGTTATATAGTACTACTACTATTAAACGAAGCTTGGTGCCGTTAAGAACTCTATGATGGTATAGCATTCACAGCGCGCAAGACGAGTATAACCTAATTGTTAAGATGTGTAGAGCTATTATCGAAGTCTGTTAAATAGTCTTAATATGTTGTGGCAGTTAGTAAACTTGGTACGGTGATAACGTGTGTACTATCATAGGAAACCCACAGATCAACTATTTATATTGGATTCTGTGACGTCATTAGATGAAGTTCCTCCAACGATCGGTTATTTTTTGTAGAATACGAGGTATTTCATAGATATGAGTCTATAGACACTGGTGGATATTTCCAAGAGGTGTAAATCACTCGGCATCGCCGATCGTTCGATATTTATACTAAAATGAAGCGAACTCAATCGAAATGACTGTGTATATAAAAAAAACCTATCGATCGATGGAAATTAAGCAGTTTGTATGCTGTGCAAATGTAATCATGTAAGCAAAGAAATCTAAATGAAGTGAACCCGTTTTTATAATGGATGGAGAACTTGAGGAAAATCAACCTTAACACGCGGTTCGTTTGTTTACGCAGTCACTGACTAGCTAATTTCAATCTATTATATATAATTAATGGTCTGAAAATAGTAAGTTGTGTATTTATTTGGTTCTACAAAGCATATCAATTTTTAATATTAATTACCATGTTTTTTTAATCAAAGAACATAATCAATGACATTTACAAAACCATTACATTTATTTCGTGCATTATGAGTAGGAGTATAGGTAGTAGGTTCGCTTGCGTCATCTCTAGGGGTTTCTCCGAGTACTCCCTCTCTCCCCCTTCTCTCTCTCTCCCGTTTCAAGTTTCATCATAATTATGTTTCTAACACATAACAAGGCGTCATCAAGTTATTTAAAGTGAAAGTGAGATAACATTATTTATTATGTTGATTACAATAACATGGTGCACCGGATATACACCCAGTCGCCTAATTTCTCTTATTATAATTTAAGCTTAGTTCGTTCTATTTCCTATTGAAAAATACATACTATACATTAAACAGAATTATGTATACAAACGAAATTTGACTAAATTTATAAAGGAGATATCTAGAACTAGGTTTCCATTTGAAAATCCAATCCCTAGTAAGAAACACACTATATGGTAGCTCTCACCCGAGGGCATCAATTTAATATTATATTTTTCTTCAGAAACAAATATACCAGAAGCCACCCACAGAAGACCAACAGCCAAATTTCTATATACATTTATTTATATAAAATTAGGAAATACCACTAACTAAATTTACATCATCCTAGGTCAGTGCTTACGCGGAGATTTAACCTCTTCCCCAGATTCTAAAATCTAACCCTAAACCACAATCTGAGGTCAAATTACTCATCAAGCTTTTAATTCCAGTTTGTAAACAACTAGTGGAGAAACAAAAGCCTGCGATAAATTGCATAAAATATAATATTTCATTCAAAAATTATGTGATAATTGACACAAAGAATTATGCACGTTATTTTTAACACATCCATCAATACCATACAGATTAGCGGAAGGCATACCTGTTATCAGATAGTTGCCACGTGCTTATCGTCAGTCATTTCAAATTTATATATGTAACATTGTTTATCTCTTCTTTTATGTTTACCTGTTCGTATGTCTTAACTACCTTGATATATGGCTGCTTTAATATAAATACATAACATACACATTCCATCATTTTTCAACACAACAGAATGCCAAACTTCTGGAATATGAATAAAGAGTATGCTCGGTAAAACTAATGATATGTCCTCTAAACGAGCAGTATGTTATGCTTGCTTGATGAAAGGTTAATAGGTTGGAATGCCATTTCTTAATGACAGAAACATTTTCGATTTGTTGCTCTAATGACAATCAAAACATATACTTATTGATATCGACATTATACACACCTAAAATGCAAATACAGGTAATGAATTCGCTATCAGTAATTTCGCCATGTATACATAAACACAGCTTGGCAATAGATCATTTAGTTTCCTTTATCTATTTTCTTGGAATAGTGTAACTTCTGTGCATAAAAATTCAGAGAACTTAAATCATAGATATGAAAAATAACTGCTACCATTTATCATTTCTCATAAAATACAACTGACATTGAGTCTACAATCACCTTACTGTCAATATGACGTGTCAATATCAAATAACATAATAATATATAGCTTTATCTAACTTGTAATAATATTTCTTTCTCACCCACAAGAGAGTAATGTAAGTTTATAGCCGGTTTGGGACATTAACATCTCAAATAAATGGAAGTCTTAATACGACCATGGCGCGGTTACCAAGCTTGCATTACGCTCCTATTGTGACCATGCTTTTTATGTACGACTTGCTATAAAAACAGGTGATTCAAAGTTCATACATCAGTGTGTATATATGTCGTCATCTTGAATTTTTAAAAAATCTGACCAGCTGATATAGTCGTCGTGATTACATGGTAGAAACGCACGTGCAGTTGCGATACACATAGAAGACACGTGGTAAGAACCCCCTGAGCTTGGTTAGAGCGGCGTGGGTTCGCCGATGCCCGCCAATGCCAAGCCAATAAATCTCAATAGAAACGCCATAAGCGCGGAGAGGTCGTGACGAGCGCGCCATGAGAACGCGGTATAATCGCACAGGTCGCGGTAAGAACGCGACTTTTTTCAAGTTTGTCAAAATTTTGGGACATTTTCTCGCGTTGTATGCACGTTTGCCGGCGACCTGGTGCATTTTCTGCTCGCCGTAGGGCGCCAACCCGGTCTGACGGGGGCTTTAGGAAATGTGGGTTTATGTTGCTTGCGGCGTTCCATAACTTTCATCTCAGATCAATGTAGCATTTACATGTACACAAGAAATGAGTCTCATCTTCTATATTTGACGTGTGGCAATAATTACATTTTCTGTCTGTTAATAATGTCACTGGTTTTACAAAACGTCCAGTTTCTATTGCTAAAGGCAATGACCCACGTCGTAGTTTTGCTAAAACACTACGTTGCGATCTGTCGAATATACATTTTACATAAGTTTCGACATACAATGAGTGCTTAAATAGCCTATATGTTCTTAATTTGTTACCATTAATTAACCCCTTATAGCCCCTGATACCAGAGCCTAAAATCTTTCAGAGTTAAAATATCAGTTTTACGTATATTGAATAAATCAGAAATTATGATTTGTAATTTGACCATTCACTTTATTAACGTATTATTCCTGGGCCCTGTTTCTCGAAATCTTAACTAAAGATAAAATCCAAATTTTAGTAGATACTTCAATTTTGATGGGCTAAGAGCTAAAATCAATCTAATATTATCCAATCAAATTACTAAAATTTGGATTTATCTAAGTTAAGATTTCGTGAAACAGGCCCAGGACTTCCTGAATTTAAAAGACCACGCCTTAACCTTACTAACAAGGCGTGTTGGGTCTACACGTGATAATCTTCTCCAGAATCTAATAATTTCTACTTTCTGTTTTGTAAAGTTTGATGCCCAGCCCATATCACCACTGACCGCCAAATTTGATATTTTACTCCCCACGCCTAAGAAAAAACGCCAGGCTCTATTCTGAACGTTATTAACGCATCTAAATTCTCTAGTGCCCCAAATTGCTGATCCATAGGTTAAGATGGGCTGAACTAAATTACAATACAGAGTATTAAAAACATGCCACCGACACATTTAAATTTACTAATTTACCGACTAAGCAATTAAGACGGGCATATGCCCTAGCTGCGGCACTACGGCGTACTCATACTTCAAATTTCAACTGTCAATCGATTCTTTTCGGACGCGCCAACGTTTGCACAGGACCTCGGTTTTCGCCCTATTCCTTAGTGTATGTTAAGTTTGTGTGGATTATTGTGTTTGACTGAACACTACCCGGGAACTGTAAAATTCACAAATAAGTGAACTTATCACAATAGTGTTTGATTTCGTGAAAGAGAAAGTATGAATAGTGACTACTTATCGGGAGACAATTTATTTTTCAAAAGGTGATCTTTGCGCGATAAATATATCTATAATATTCCTTTTTTCAATATATCGATGATATATTGTGTTATTCAGTTGCATCGCGCGAGACGTGACCGTAAATCGAAACCTATATAAGCAAATGATAACAATTGGAAGCGTCTGATTCTCGATTTATGAGACGAGTAGCCAATTTATTAAATACGTGTTGCTACAAGTTTCCATCGCAATGTCTGTAGATTAGAAACGTCAAATGACGACGAAGACTTATAAAGAGCACACTGCTGGTATAGCCAGAAGATTGGAGTGATCAGTAACATAATAACTTCTAGAATTCATCTGCTACATTATTTACGCGTGACCTGTCATAATTCGGACTACATCATATCCATTACTCATATGTGGCTTCAAATCTAATATAAAAGTGGGTTATGCTTGCGAGCAATGAACAATCTACAGATTTATTACAGATTTTTTTAATTTTATTTTTACCAACAAAGAGCCAAATATATCATAATTATATGATAAATGAATTTGAAGGAGACTGGCCCCATACACATTTTTTTCAGGAAATGAGAAGAGGATTATATACTTCTATGGATGATGTAAAATTTTCCGATATCCTTATGTCTACATATATATCATTCCGCCATACAATTCAAGTCCAAAAAATCAATAATAATAATAATAATAATAATAATTTATGTAATACGTTTTACTGGTTTATAGACTTGCGACTTAAACTCCCCATAAGTCAAATCGACATATTATTTATATAAAATTTTAGATAATCAGAACGGAAAAGTGATATTCAGCTAGTAGGACGATGAAACAACCACCAACAGGTTATAGGTATTTGCTAAATGTTCACCAATATAATAAGCTATATTAAAATACAGATGTGACGTCATCTTTTGATGTTGGCGTACCATTATTTCACACAGTGGTACGGACAATGTGCCAAGCGTACATTATTTATACTTGCTGAAATATTGGACCCGCGTGACGTATTTCATTGAAATTGAGGTGCTGGATAGTGTCTGTATTTTAAGCTGTTTAATGGTCTCGTGCAAGACATTGCGTAATACATAGATATAGCCTTCGTGCTAAACGCACTCGTGCAGTATCAATATTACTTAATGTCTCGCACTCGACCATTAAACTACACATTTAAGACGATTATAACACAATAATCAAATCAACAGAAAGTACAGTGGACTTATTTAGGATTGACCGACTTCAATAATTTTGGTCTTAACGATTTTCGTCTGCCTTATCGACTGGACTTCA